TGATTCCCACTGTTCGACCAGCCGGGAATGACTAATTGCGTTGTATTAGATGATAAATGAATCATGTTCAAGAACCATCGCTCGGTATTGTTGCCCCCGCTGTATACCTAGTAGCCGAAGAGGCTGAAAACGCATAACCGATAAAGCATTACTCATCTATCTGTAGAATGGTTCTGGCAGCCAGGCGTATTGTTTTCTACATTCTGTCAGTGTTTATGTGTCCAGCTGTGAAGATTTATAGGCCATACATATCTACATTGGCGTGCCATTTAGAAAACCAATTGCCGGGAAACCCTGTTACAGGGCGGCATCTGACAGTATCCTCTAAGACGGTGGGATTTTGATGCCCATCACCTGGAAACAATCTGCTTCCTATTGAGGATATACTGCGAGAATTTATTGTTTGCAGCGAGCGAAAGATGAACTTTTCAAGGGTTTGAGACAGACGTGCATGCTGTTATATTCAATTTAAACGTTAAATTTTACGTCCTAAATTGGGGATCACGATAGATGAATGGCTGTAACCCGGACTGCGTTCGAATCTATAGATATTTTTGCTTTTTCGAGTGAAAATCTATCATCGCCCAATGAACTTTTATCTACTCAGATTTGTCTCTCATGAAGACAACACGTAGGATCCGGTATTGTATAACCCATTAGTTAAATAAAGCTTAAAGGAGCATCAATTTCATGTGTTTCAAATTAGTCGCTTTTGGTGAAAGTGGACACTAAATAACAACTTAACTCAACTAACCTTGACTAACAACATCCACACGCAGAGATTCTCATCAGACCACGACGCATTAGCCAAGTCATGGTGGTAGAAAGATGCGTCCTTTTTCATTGTCCTTAACGCAAGCATAGGTTGCGATTTGGGGTGTAGAAAGCATTTCTACGCCATTTCACAAACCACACATTGAGACCAGCGATCCTCACTAGCGAAAGTGTACTGCCATAAGCTCATAGTAACGCCAAAGCACCCTCTGTATCCCATGCGTCACATATTTGTGAACCTGTCAAGAACCATGCAAGCAATTTACGATTGATGGACCGATACGGTTTCGCCTCCGTCTTGATACAGATGGAGCGGAGTCCAGACCTTTTGAAAGAGGTGAAAGTAAGGACATTTTGTCCTGGCACTTATAAGCACGCTCCCTTTCTCAGTTGCAGCGATGTGAGGGTTTGATCGCTACAAAACTCGATTGATGTGGACGGGTTGGCCGCTGTTATGTCTCTAGGTGTTTGAATGCATGTTGGCAAACAATGCGGAGCTTTCTCGAAAGGGCATGATGATACCGGAATAAGTAGTAGGATAACAAGTTACTTGATGCCTTATTTAAAACTCGACATAATTTTTTGACTACTAAAATTTACCATTGGTTAGAAGGTATGTCACCAGATCAGCCTCCTGTCTGGGTAGATGATAATATGGGTGGTGAAACGAAGTCTATCGCAAACAAAGAGTATGATGAGGCGGTCGAACGGCAGTTTCAAAGAAGCTATAATTGCGAATTTTAACCAAAACATAATACTAACATAATAATAAATACCTTAAGTTTCCGGCGTTAAAAAAAAGACTGGCGTGTTACTGGATGGAGCCTTTGATATAAGTCACGTTGAGGATACAGAGAATGTAAAGGGATATGAGGGACAGATGGTGAACCCTCGGATATACTCCATCGATATTGCTGAACTAGCTGAACCCCTGAATAAACGCACATTGAGACAAGTGAACAGCACCAGCGGAGACCCGGTGCCCTAACTTTCAAGTGTGACAGTCTCCTGTATTTTACACACATCACACCATTTACCATAGGCAAGCATTAAAAACTACCTTGACAGATATAGTAAATGGATATTAGGCAACTTCCGTAAACCTGCAACAGTGGACCCATCCGGAAGGTCTCTTCAAAATAGTTCATAATATGCCTTGCGAAATCTGCATCTGACGTGCGCAGCCTCGTTGGAAACCCACCTGCTAGCAACGGATATACAGTCAAAGAAGTTATCCGGGACTCATAACCCTAACTTATATTTCCACTATTAATAACTTCAAAAGGGTATGTGATTTAGCAGGCTACAGCAGTTTAATGCAAATAATAGCGACCAAATGTTTCCTTGAATTCCGGCTTCCTTCAACCAGAACCAGTCTTCTAAGGTCTTATGGGACTTCACAGTCTACTGGTCTATGGACCGCGTGGAGAGATAGTTACTTTCCCAGAAAATTACTTCACTGTGATTTGTAATATATCTACACCCAGTGTGCATGCAATTAAGTGCATTGTAGGAAAAAACGTAGACCAAATTAAGCTGGGTGCTGAGACGTGTTCATACGGTCGTGCTCGAGAAAGTGACCGTTTAAGACGGGGCAAAAACGTCTTCATGCCTGAAAATCGAAAAGAACTTGACTACTTATTGTATACTACTAACGTTTCATTAAACAGATCAAAATTCATTACATTAGCAAATTTAACTGAATTCTGCCCGTCTTGGCTCGCACGAGGGTGCCAAAAACGTTTTTTTGCCACTAAATTCCATAAGGGGCCTTGTTTGTACCATTCTCGTTTATTACTCAACTCCTGTGACCACATTAACTACTCTAAAATGTACTGTGTCCTAGAACATTTATAGCGGCCGGTCCACCGCCACTCACTCATGGGTTTTCTATCTCGTCTCTTTCTACACCTCTTCTGCGAACCTCCCATGTGTCTTATTGCTCAGCGACTAGCATATTCATGAATGGCAACAAACAACTGGTGAACTCAAATCAAATAAAAATTGCGGTCGTGGACTATTATCCCTTTTTTGTTCAACATATGCTGACGAACCAGATTCCTTACTGCTACGGGTAAGGTCAGATTGCACATCTCATGAGTATAATTCCCCTAAAATTTTGTCCCAGTGCAATAAAACTCCACCCACCTGGCTCCTTCAGAATAATACATGTTTGCATTAAGATAACTTCTGGCTGGTTCCCATAGAAGATTCTCCCCGTAATTGTTGGTCCGTACTGACACCAATACAGAGGCCACTGTACATTACGAAGTTGCACTGGATTGCCATAGACAAAGTCGGTTGGGATCTTCCACAGAAGTAATCCAAGACAAAGAGAAATCGCAGCGGATGTACACTCATTTGCAAACTATTTGGTTTTTTCGAGAAACTCACATGGAACCCAGCTTAATCTCTCTCTGGAAACGTCACAAACGAGCGATTCAGCTGGGTTCCAGGTGAGTCTCTCGAAAAACCAAATTAGTTTGCAAATCAATGTATATCCGCTAATTTCGTGCAATTTGGTTTCAAGTAGAACATGGGGTTGACGGAAACTCGGGGACTGCGCCTACCTGCTGAGCCTCAAGAAGAACGAAACCGGTCGTGGGCTGTCGACGAATTTTCTGCAATCTTATAAGTGGTACATTACAAGGAGAAATCTCATTCTTGAATGGCTGTAAAAATTTTTCAGAAAGTTCGAGTTTGAGAGTGTGCGATGAAATTCCTAGGGGACAGCCACCATAGAAAAAAATCGCCATTAGACTTTACCAATTGAACCTCTGTGAGTATATTCCCCCCCCATAGAAAAGCACTGTACCGCCGCACAGTATCTGACAACATTTCTTGTTCCCTGTTTAGCTCCGTATTAATTGATATCATGCGTACACAGAAAGTCAGCGTGTCTGACTACCTGCGATTGAATATGCCTTTATGTGCATATGAAGGACTGGAATCCAAAATGAATTTACATAGCGTATTGAACGAAACTGCTGAGGCCTGCGAATATCTGGATGCCCAAATAAGGTTTGTGCGGAGCGATACCAGGTACGATCGCGCGTTTGTATCGATAGAGAGCCGAGACAATACGCAGAAACCCATTGCAAGCAACCATTCTATCTGAAATTAAAAATTAGCGCCGGTCAGACTTGCATGATTATCATCCCGGGTTGAGCATGTACTTCGTGCCGTGCGTAATTGGGTACAGGTGGACGGATGTGTTAATGGTAGAAAGCCAAAGTTACTGGCAGATAAACCTGAAATCCGGTGATAGCGGGGCATTCGTTACTAGTCTTTGTTTTCCTCACATCATTTTATGGGCTAGCAGCTAAATAGCAATACGCCCATGCCTGGTCCTCAGCAGGCCTTAAATCCTTCGGTTTACACTAGCATTAGGAGCCAGCCTATAGCACTGCATTTTGTTCTACCAAAACCGACAATATTTTACAAAGCATTCACGAAGGTTTAGTGGCCACACTTTTCTTGACCACCCACCCCACGCTTTCATTCACTTAGATATCCGTGTGCGGCCAATGAGGTATCTGATGCGATGTCATAGTTCAAAAAAATAAAATGCCCTGCAGTAGTTCACTTGCTGAAATCATCAACAGATAACTTATTGTGATGTGGTAGCTAGCTTTCTATGGGGAGCGATCCAATAGTGTCCTTGTGCTTTAAAAGTTGACATGTGTGCGCCAATTACTGACATTCACCAACTCGTAAGTGCATTAATCAAAGAAGATAAATCCCATGGGTCTCTTTGTTTAAAATACAAGCAATAAAATCAATCACGTCCAATAGTCAACTGCCAAAAGTCCGTCAGCAAAGTCACAAATTATATTGTTCTACAAATTTATCCCGTTGGCCCATTTATGCCGGCAGCCTTCCGGTCGTTGATTCGAGACGACGAGCCGAATAAACAAAGCGTCACTCTCCTGCAGGTCGTAAATTATGCTTATTTTAACGACAGACCGGTACGATGATTCACGCACCCGCAGAGCCTTAAGGAAAGTATTTTATCTGATGTTTGAATTATCTTTTGTGTGTTTGTTTCCTTCTTTATTACCCTGTACTTTCTGGTCTACTGAGAAATGCGAGGAAAACATACAAATTAGGTATCGAAAGCTGCCATCTTCCATTTTTTGGAAGCACTAAACTTTTTCAAAGTATTGGACGCAAGTAGTACCACACATTCACAGTTAAGGGGTAACAAAGCGTGCTCTGAACTGAATAAAACTTCGTGTATTTTCTCAAGTATATATGTGTATATATTTAATGGGCATAAGTAAACTCTTCCGCATAGTTGCATAAAGGAAAATGACATGAAACATTTTGAATAATTACAGGTGTAGTTCTCCATACAATTCAGGTGATTAATAGGTCACGTGATTCATGCGAACTGGTCCAACTTCCGTATCGAAAGCGAGTTTGTATTTTGGGCTGACCAGTTGATGGTGTTCAGTGCATATCCTTGTGATTGGTGAAGTTGTTTGTGAGCAGCAGACGGCATGGCAAAACACGCCTCATGCGTATCGGTTGAACGTAGAACGGCAGGTTGTGATAAGGACGAGCACGGATTGCAGTGCTCGCGTGTATGAGATTCGCCAGAGAATTGTGTGTTCTTTGCTGGAAAACCAATGAAAACCATGCTCACAAGAAATGCATTAGATACGCGCCGGCTACCTCAACTGGTTCATTTGCAATTTTATGCACTGACTGGTCTAACGAACGATGTAAAATGTCCTAAGAATGATATCGCTGGCAAAATGTTGTGGGCTTACAATAACTTATCATTCACATACCTAAATTCACTGTCCACTTTCGACGGACTCCGGTAAATATCGTACATTCCCATTCAAGTATCCGAACATGTGATCGTGGAATCGTTTCCGGACCAAATCACATTAACACGTTTAGGACCGCTGAAATCAAGCTCCTGATGACTTTGCATTGAGGTAAACCTTCTCTGAACAGTTCTCATCCTGTCTTGACAAAATTGTTCTAAATCTTTCTTTCATTTGCAATTTATCTGCTCACAGCGACAGGGCCTGAGACCCAGGTGGGTTATTATATGAGGCCAGTGGGATGACTGATACTCTGAATGAGCCTGAATTGACAAGTCTGAGCAAGAGAACGTGTCCACGCTTGCACATTTGCCGTCATTTACGGGCATCTGCGGTGTTTTTATTGTGGCCTGCATCTGTGCTTCTCGTAAAAACTCGTGGATGTTCCGAAGTCACAGCGGAAACATCATACAGAAGGAATAGCAAGAATCAGAAAGCTAAGGTGGAATATTTTGAAAAGCACGACGAAACCAGTATAGGATAACCGACCAATCCAATACAGCTAAATACAAAACTGTGAAACTGATAAGTTTGTCTTACAATAATTGTCAAATACCTAGTAGTGACTGAGCCGTCATTCCATAAAGTGCAACTGTGTAAGCTCAAGAAAACGTGACTGACCCGAAGTCCCATGTGTTGCAGCTAATTTACTTGGTGCTTAAGAGGGGGCTCAGTGTTGCGCAAGTATTTCACTTCGGATTATTTTTTCTGCATCTACCTGGCAGTCGTGTTCTCAAACAGAACACCGCTAGCTGAATAACTGCGTGTAAACCTAAGGAACGAGCCGCAATCGGGGAAATGCATGGCCTTTAGACGGAACGAGTCAGCGCCTGTGAGTTTTACTGAAATATTCTGACAAAGGAGATAGTACGTGTTTTTGAGTAGAAGATTCTTGAGTTATCCGAATACGTTTCAGCAAACACAGACCTTCAGCTTGTTATATGTCACATGTACAAATATTTTTCCTTTTCACCATACAAAATATTCCTTAACCGGCTTGATTTTTTCAACACGATCATGTATACAGTAGACATTTTCCATCAGGAGGACAAAAACATATCAAGCGCTCAACCCCTACAGCCGTTGGTAAGATAAATTAAAAGAGTTCACTACTGAGGAGAGCACTGGCACCTCAGGCGGCACAAATGGTCTTTGATCTGCCTAATTTATCCGTAAACATTGTTTTAAGACCACCAGCGCATAGCTACACCTCGCTTCCTAATAACGCGACGGATGTATCAACTCAACCAGCAAAAAGTCGGCAACTAATGTGCCAAGCTCAGTAAGGGAACCAACAACCAAATCAGATAGGAATAGATAACTAAACTTGATGTCTCAACATAATCTATGATGCATGATGCCGAGACTATAGAAAAACGGTCAGTTTGTTGCCACATGAAGATTGTATCAACTTACCCAGTTGGAAAACGGAAGCAGGTGAAATTTTCGGTAACAGTGTACAAGGTTTCTGAATATTCTTACTATAATAGAGCCTGTATTAACTCCGAGTTGCACCACAAAACTCAGTTTTATGGAATGTGCTATACCGTAAGATGGGAAACACACTGCAACCAACTCATTGATAAATGTTACAAATTTATATCTAAACTTCCAACATACAAATAATTTCACACATCCTTCGCAATCAGCAGATCTGTACATGAACGGTGTGCTGATTGATGTGCTAAAGTGTCAAACGTTCACATTCCGCTAACGGGTCAATTAATTAGCTCTGCTATCGATTATTGCGAGAAACCATACATTTCGACGTCGTTTAATTGAGTGATTTTGATTGTGAATTTCAGCTCCAAATTAGCATCAAGGTTTTAGGGAATTTTCGCATTTGTACGCGAATTTCAACCACTGAATGCACGGTTGGAGAACGTACTGATCAGTTTGCACGCACTGTTTGTTTTGGTTGCGATGACCTTCCCAAAGAGTAGAAAATTGTTAGAAAACCGTTACTGAAAAATTATAAGTTCATTCGAATTTGAATGCAGTTGAGATAACAAACACGGATTTAAGAGTGATTGGACAAACTCCAACAGAAATTAGCGGAAGGAATGAGCGTCAAACCTCTGTTTCGCTAAGCGTAAAAAACATCTTGGGGGACACTTTACCGTAAATACGTTGCCAAAAGTAGAGGGTACACTTCCTACGCCATTCTCACGTCAGTATCATGTAGGGCTTTCAAAAAAATAATTTATTTTGTAATCTGCTCATAATTTCCTACTGGAATCTACTTTTGTCTTCTTTTCTAACCGTTTTCCTTAAAAGGTATGTGACTAAAGGTGGTCATTTCCTACCAATTAGTATTTGGTAAAACTACGTTGTTGGGTTTGCTCCCGGCATCTTTTGCCTTGAAGGCAGAGCAAAGTTATGAGACGAAATCAATCCAAAATTGCGGTAAATGAGCCACAGAGTAACAAAATTGAACTGAACTCAAAGTAACTAAAGACCGTAAAAAATCTCCCATTGAAATTTGATATTACAAGTGGATTTAGTTCAGGATTTGTGCACCACGTATACAGAACGCAACTTTATAGGCGTATTATTTTATTGGGTATCTTGCTTGGGTGTTTTAAAACAAAACCCCACAGACAGAGCCACTGTCACCGCTGATCGTATGTCACGTAAAACAAAGAAACTGAGGGGATGAAAGCAGACTTGTTGCACAAGGTTGAAATGACAACCAGGATACCCTTGCATAATATAGATAACATTATATCAGTGGAAGCACAGGACCCGTGATGGTCTGTCGGGATTGCTTTGAGTAAGGACTTCAGTGGACTGTAGAGGAAAATGTTGGTAGCTCACGTAACGTAGAAGGTCATTGGCTTGTTCGCTGATCTGTGCAATTTGATTGCAATCAAATTGCCCAGCTCAGCGAACAAGCCAACGGTCACTTGAGCGAACTGTTTTTAAACGAAAACAAGCAGCAGTATAGCGACCAATTTATACCGAAATACCCACCCTACTTTTTATACTCGGACTGCAGAGACTGTCACGATTAATAACTAAACAAGCTGAATTGTTACAGTGCTATCCAAGAAGCCCCAGTTTTATTCCTCTTGATAATCCTCGAAACAATCAAATGTGCGTAAAAAAAGTTCGGTTACTGGTGTAATTGAACGTTCCAAAAAAGTTCATCAGTAAATGTTTTTAGAGAATGCTTGTGCGATTGGAACGCGGCATAAATAAATACACGAAAATCCATCGTATAATTTATTCTCGGGCAGTGCCTCCGGCATTTACACTAATGTAAGAAAAGTATGGTAGACTGAGGCGTGTTCTCACAAACGCGTGGGAAAATCGTTTGCTTTCACTTTGCTAAAGAGATTCTAAGACTGGTTAACCAAAACGTAAGAATTATCAGGGCTGATTTTATCACACACGCGTATGTGGTGAGGACAGCGATTAACAAAACATCGAAGTGTTTTGAAAAAGATCTTTTTGGAAGGCTATAGATTTTTGCTAAAGTATCCACTCAGGTATCATACTTGCAATAAATTCTTCACCAAAAACGTTTTTCTTTCAAACTATTAGTCACCACATTTCAAGCCTGGCATATAATTATTCTGGGCGCTGTTTCCCCATCATTTATTTAAAAGTGAGACGCACACCATGCACGGTCGTGTGTTTATGGACTCTCCTTTACAACCCGGCACCGGTTTGTAAACACCTAGTCCATAAATGAAACCACCGAGGATAGCAAACTAGTAACAAAGATTCAATCACTGAAGGAGAAAAGAACAGCGCTTTATTTCCCTGTTGAAGACGGATGCTATAGCCCTGTTCACAAGGTATACCACGACCGAGCAACAGAGTTCATAAACCTATTTGACCTTGTCCGTTCTATCTTGATTTTTCGATTGTCTGTTTCCTCGGTCGAGTAAGATTGAACCTTCAGGTTTTTCTACCTGAGAATTCACCGCCGTTTTATGGATTTTTACAGTCAGTGGGGACGTCCTTCCAATTTTTGAGGGATATTCGGAACTGATATTATCACCAAATAGTGATGTACTTCAAGAAAGACAAATTATTCTTTCACACATAATAAATCGCCCTTGTTTCGCAGTTTTCGGTCTTGAGGCTGATGGAAAAAATTCGAGAAAGCCCTCAGCTACCGAAAATTTTCGTTAATTTACTCTCATTAGATGGCAAAAATAAGAGTCGATAACTGCTGACCCATATTGTTTACTTTCTTCACAACAATATTAGAAAATGCCACTGGTAGTTCTGTTTGCATTTCCACTCGTTTGTGTGGGCAAAGTGTAATGTATCACATCTGTAAGTGACTACATCACTTAGGAGCGGAAGTTTTGTCGGGATAAGGTGCATCATTCTGTTAGTGCCGAATGAGCACCTACAGTGGTGACTAGCAAGCTAGTTAATGAAATAGAATACCGATTTTTTTTACTGCTTACCGTTTATTAACTGACAGCCATTGATAAAACAACCTAGGCATTTTCACAATCAGGTTAAATTCCCTTAAACTTACTCGATTTATCGTGATTTCAGTATAAATAAATAACACCATATCAACTACTGGTTTATTTGCTTGATCTTAGTTAACTGGCGTCCATTTTTACTTTACTTTGATGCGCAAGTTTTTTTTTAATTAAACAAGTTCGCACAAGTCTATTTGACAACTCCACTGAACAACTCATCAGATGTCGGCGAATTTGACTGATGGCAGTTGAACCATGAGAATGCGAGCCACTTGTAACCGCTATTGCATATTATCGTCCATTTGGTCTCTAACATCCTACACACTTATCT